TATCCGTAATTTCATTTTATCTAGGTCTCTTCGCAATTTTTCGCGGCTTTGCTTTTTGGGAGACGCCAAAAAGATTTCAAAGTCTTACCGGCTCAGCGCCCGCCGAAGTCCGAGTAAGTCGAGTGCGCATTCCAGGTAAGAAGATTATCGGGCATTAAGGCCCGATCCAAGGGTTAAGTTGACACAACAAATTAACTTTCCCTCGCCTCTGGGCTGTTTACTCGCGGAGTGTATTAGGGATCGGATTTGCGTTTGTTTTAGTTAAGGTGTCGGTCGGTAACGGGCTTCTCTCGATCCGTTACAGATTTAGAATATCCTTTTTATTTACTTGTGCACTTTTTGTGTCAACAATAATGCCCGAAAGCAGCACCAGTAGCTGTAACAGTGAAATTAATTTTATGTTGTTATTTATAATACAAAAAAGATCAGAAGAAGAAAAAATAGCTATTTACTGTTTTTCAGTGAACTTATCTTACAAGAAAACTTAATTTACGGAACGCAAAGAACCCTCAAGATGCAACTTTATTACGAATTTGACCTGTAGTGTACACTTTTTAATTACTACTCATTTAACGTTTTGCGACACTTTTGAAGTACCACGAAGTACCTTCTTTTTACAATATTCATGTATATCCTGTCTTAATATCTTCCTGCACTTTGTATGCTTCGTAAAAGAAGATATTCAAAGAAGTGTTTTATAGCGCAGTGATGACGTCATTAGGCACTCGCCCCGGATCTGGGGACATTCGTAGCCTCTCCGACTCAGCACTTCTTGAAAAATCGCGAGTAATTTACTGCAGTGGAATGTTTCTGGGAATAATATTTTGCTCCGAACGTAACAGTCATGAAAGTACAAAAATCCACATAGGATATGAAAAACGCATTGATGGTCAACGGACAATACACAGAAAGTAGCTTTTGAAAAGGAATATTTTTTCATCAAAACAATTTACAGTTTTTCAAAGGAACATCGTGACTAGTTACAATAAATTGTAGCAATACATTGTTATCCTGCTGAATGATTGACATGGACATAATTGGTCGGAGCATTTTTCGGTCGTACCTGCCTCACGCTACCCATTTATCTGGCAAAATAAATCCGTGGTACGTGTAGTTTTTGTGTCTGACCACGGAACAACAGAAATAATTCCTTGTTCAATCTTACAGTTCTTTGTAAATGTCTATCAACGTGAGCTAGATAAAATATGTGCCTAAATAATTATATGGAACAAAATCTAGATTTCAAACAGGCTGCTTGGGTTTTCTTTTAGGTTTTATGTAACCTATATTTATATTGTTTTAAACTTTCATGGTCACTAACAAAATTATTATTGCTGACGGGATTGCTACCATGTTTCAACATGGTTTCAATTGTCAAATGTCTGGAACCCAGTGATTCGAATGTGCAAACACCGGAGAATTGAACAAAGTGTAGTTCCGCGGTCGGATATGTAAGTGTTGTGTGTCGAGAACAGTTGCGAGAAAATAGTGAGTTGGTGAACAGTGGTTCGGAAAGCAATCGTAATAAAGGACTGCGAAAGAGGGTAGACCGATTATATGTCTGCCCATAATATCTCACCCGCAAGTTTCTTCAGTTACTCCGTGACCATGGCGCTTGCAACAGTGCCGAAATATCGGAAACTCAAAACTAAGGTAGGTACATGGTAGCAATCCCGTCAGTAATTATAACCTATATTTACTTGTATTATGTACCTACTAGCTGACAACCGTCAAAATAAATAATTAACTTTTTTAAAAAATAAAACCGACTTCAAATGCGTGAACACAAAAAAAAACTAAAAATTAAAAATATAAATATAAAAAAGTTCATCCCCAATTTTCCACCCTTGGGGGTGAAATATTATCTTCAAATTCGCATGAAACCACCCTTTTGATAATACCTATTCAACAAAAAAATAATCGTTCAAATTGATTTATAATCGGCGAAGACATTGCGTATAAAAAAGTTCATCCCCAATTTTCCACCCTTGGGGGTTGTTTTTTCTATTATTAAATTTAAATGGGACCACCCTTGAGGTATTACCTATACGCCAAAAAAAGATTTGTTCAAATCGGTTCATAATTGGCGGAGTTATCGCGTAACAAACATAGAAAAAAAAAACATACGGGTCGAATTGAGAACCTCCTCCTTTTTTTGAAGTCGGTTGAAAAGGCACATAGGTAATCTATACAAACTTTTGCTTTTTATAGATTGTAGGATTATTGTAAAACTACTAAAAAGATACGAGTATTAAGACAACAAGAAGGCCTGGAAACTTTTAAGTGTGTAAATTCAAATTAAAAAATTCAAATTCAAATTCAAAACGTTTATTTGCTAAAAACACAGTAATACAGGGTGACAATATTAAAATAGGATCATGATGTGTTTAGTCTGATCACACCACCACCACCTGGTGTAACCACCAGGCTAAGTGAAAATAAACTTGAATTCGCATAAAATTAGATCGCCACCGTAAAAGAGCTTGCAACAAAGATTGCGTTCGCTTTGTGCGCGCATGAAATATGAAGTGCAGCTAGGCGCTAGTTACACGACTTACTTGGGTATTCCTTTGTTCTGAGCGGTGTCAGCAGACATCTTTTTGTGAAAACACTATTAGGAAGTGTTAGCAAAAAAGTTACTACCACCACTTATACATTAATCATTAAGTAACTTCATTAATATGAATGAAAGATATTTCTGTAATTTATTTCATTTTTAGGCTTGTTTTTTGATTGTTCATGTTCTGAGACACTGTCATTTGATCCTTTTGACCGTTGAATAGATCACGTATGGTCCAGATCTTTACATCAATAATGCAACTACGCTCATCTATTGATATAAATTACATAGTTATTTAAATAAAATAAAAACTCAAATATCCTAGACTATCAATAAAATGATGCAATCGCTATTAAAGTAAGACAGCTTACGGTTTGAAAATTAAAGTTAACTTAAAAATACGAAATTAAAGTTAAAATATTTTGTGCACGTAAATACTAATACAATAACTTTTTAAAATTAATTTTTAAATTACGGTGATTACTTGATTAGTTAGTATTGTTTTTGCCAACTGTACAAACTCAGTACACAGATGTGTGCGTGCAAGGATACGGACGTGAAAACGTAGTAAAAGCCAAAACTGCCATTGTTTTCCATATGTATGGACTCCTCAAAATTCCGTTTTTCGATGACAGTGCTCGCTCGGTTTGTAGTGAAGCTGCGGGGTTGGCGATTTATACCATATTTTCAGAATAACTGATTTTGTTCGGTTTCATTTAGACTTAAATGTTTAATTTATAGTATAGAACACAATGTTTTCTTTTTCTTTTATTCACAACGAGGAAGCTCTTGGCCTGTATCTCACCTGATGATAAGTGATGATCAGGCCGAAGGTGGTAGCGAGCTTCACCCGGAATCCTCAACCACGGAGGAAATGGCAATCTTACCTCTAACTGCCGGAACACAACAATGCTGTTAACATTGTTGTTATGTCTTTAAATATGTACCTACACTACACGTACCTAGTTAAATAAAAAATAAGATTTTCTTTTTTCTGTTTTTCTACAGTTATTGTTCTGGTTCGTACTATTACGATTAATTAGTTGCCTTACTAAAATTCATTTTGTTTTGTTCACAGGTAAGTCCGTACTTAGTTTCATAAGTATGAGTACATAGATGAAGATCCTTCTTAAATGGTGAGTGTGATTTCATTCATTTTTACAAGCTTTTTATTACAAGCTTTTTTACAAGCTTTATATTGACTTCACTTGTTAGTATGTGTGGGACAAATCTTGCAACTGAATTTAAGACCAGTTCTCCTCAACCGATTGAGCTGAAATTTGGTATACTTATGTAAGTACGATGACAATGCAATGTTATGGTACCATTGAGCTGCTCTGATGATGGAGTCAGGAGGTGGCCTTAGGAACTCCTATGCGAAACGTCGGAATCGCATTGAATTTGGGTTCGTTGGATTTGTCTTTTTGAGCACTTTAGTGGTAGATGATGACCAGGGTCCTATTGATGGATTCGGGAGGTGGCCATAGGAACTCCTAAACGAAAATGCGGAAATTCATCGAGTTTGGGTTCGTTGGATTTGTCTTTTTGAGCACTTTAGTGCTAGATGATGACCAGGGCCCTGAGATTGAGAACCAACTAAAAAGTGTAGAATAAAATTATAATAAAAAAACGTTTTTAAAAACAAGCTTTACTCTGAAAGGCAGTTATTGTACTAAAACGAAAAAAATAATTGTATGCAAGGTTCAGATAATTTCGAAAGCTTGTAGCGCAAACAAAAAAAGAGGAATAAATTCCATGCGCGATACAAGCTTTCGAAATTATTTGAACCTTGCATACAATTATTTTTTTCGTTTTAGTACAATAACTGCATTTCAGAATAAAGCTTGTTTTTAAAAACGTTTTTTTTTTATTATAATTTTATTTAAAATGTACCCAAAACCTTCTGGCTTCTTCTATGTACTTTTCATGGCAAGACCTTTTGTCACCCTGCAATACCTACCCTGCATATCTTAGTGTAATTACGTCAGAAGAAATGATGGCTGACATTTGCACCGGACATCGACGGACTGTGACCCGGCTTACGCTATCTAGCCCTTCGTGACCCGTCAGGCTCCCGGGAGATAAAGTTTGACCTGGGTTAATTCGTTATAGGTATTGTGTTTTATTTAGGTACTGTTAAACAGTGAGTAAAATATTATTAAAACTTTTAAAATACGAGCGCGGCCTGAAAGGCTTTTTGGAGGCCTAAAGTGTAACAAAATAACTTTATTCAAGAAAAAAAGTCATTTTCCAAGCTGCAGATAGCCCAAGTTGTACGTTTCAAGTTCAACACGTTGCGACATCTACAAAACACAGACCAAACCATTATTCCATACACTATCTTGCAAATCCAATCCCTGAAAGTAGCACCCTGTTCAAGCCCGTCCCGAGATTATTGTTAGTTCTTACTGAAACCATTAGATGGCGTAGCAAGCTTTAGCAACAGGGATAGGTCGAACAAGTAGCATTATTTGGAAGTTACACAAGAATTTAGGATAAAGGTCATTTTATGGCGATTACTCGATTTCTTCGCAAAAACATAGTGTGCATATAATTCCCAGTCATTACCGCTACTCTGATATTCCTGGATTGGAATCACACCAGGAGTTGGAAAGCCTTGAAAGAGAAGTAACATGGCTATTTTTGGAATCACCACCCGCTATGTCTGGTTTGCGATCCCACTCACTGGGTTTTTCATCGGCAAGTACCTGGATGACCAGGAGACCCTCAGGATGACAAATTTCAGGGACAAGTCCAAGCTATACGGAGGGAGAGTGAAAGAGGGCGAAGCCCCTTCTTGGCCTAGTGTTATGTATTAATAATAGTGTACCTTGTCTCTTTGAATGGTTTGTGTTAGTTTTAGAGTAGGTACCAGTTTAATTTTATAAGTTAAACAGTTTCAGTGTTACGCAACTGTACTCTAAAATGGTCCATAATTTTTGGTACATTTGTGTATGTACTTGTAACTAAGTTTCAATTATTGGTGGTAGTTAGTTTATAAAGTAGTAGGCAACTTTAATCAAGTATCTTACATTACCCAGTTTAATGTTCTTGATTGGGGAGAGATTGTGAAATAAGCACTGATAGTGAGGAACCCGAATGAAAATACACAAATTCTTTATAACTTAGTTTTATTCATGAGTAAATAACTTAATTTCACTGAGCTGAAGAATTTAAATTAATGAAGTCATAAGTTTTAGGTATTAGAAATTACATTCATAAGGTAGTTAATGCAGTTTTAAAATCAACTAATCGAACAAATATTTATTTCAAAACGATTTTCTTTCTTTTCATAAAAGACCTATAATATTTTTGGATTGAAAAACAATTATGAAGAATTTTGTGTAATTACAGAACAAATTGAATGGCATTTAAAAACTATTTTTGTATAAAACAAAGCTGTGATAATTACAAGGAGCAAAGACGAGAAATTATCAGAGTGGACATCAACAGATGCTAGTCTACCGATATATTTATAATTTAAAATAATTATTATCGATACAAACACGATATCTGGTACTAAGGCAGTGTTCAACAATCAACATTTTGTAACAAGTGGACCACACAACAAAATTAGCTAAAAATCACGTTAATATTAAATAACAAAGTACGTCTTGGTCTTCTTTTGAATTTAACTCCTGAATAGATTAAATTTCGATAGGAAAATGGTAGAAGTTTCAAGAAAAGGAGCAATTGATATGAAATGAGTATAAAATTGTTCCTCTCATTTATCAGACGCTAAAATTAATATCCTGCCCCCTGAATAAATAAAATAACATCTATGAATATCCCTAAAATACTTTCTCCTTCAGATACAGCTTCTTAAAAACTTCAAGTTACTGAAATTGTGTTGTATGGTCCAGTTGCTAAAGGAGCCGCGTGTAGGTATTCGCTAGAAGGCAACTTGTTCACGGCATGGCCGCCATTATACGTGACACACTGACGTATAAGCCAACAACATACTTAGTTAACATGCATCACCACTTGTAATGTGTAAGTGACCTGGGGTGATAGAAAAAAACGCGTCAAGTAAAACTTTTCTTCATTGAATTTAACGTAAGATTTAAAACATTGAACTGTTTCTCTGTCACAACATATTTTTTGTCTACTCACTCATCAATTTAATTAATTAACATTAATGTTTCACATTAATAATTTTGGTCCTATTTTTTCCAAGAAATATGCTTTTTTATAGATTCTGTCATTTACCACAAGATAAATAACAAACAAACATTAATTTTCATTTTCTAACACCCGGTCACCCTCCACACAATTAAATATTAATTCATAAAAATAAAACACTCGTGAATTCGCATTCCCAATAGCTGTACATTACAAGACTAGAATACCTAAACCAATAGAAGCACAAATAACTTTTAAAATCAACGTTTGCGTTCCTTCTCTAACCTATGATTATGACACAGAGCACTATACTTACAATCCATTTACACATTTTCAATATACAATATATTTTTACACGCCCTATGACGATAATATTTTATCACATTATTTAGTTACATAAAATTAATGGAACATCAGTAACAGTCACTAGACAACGTACAATAATTTTAATGACTTCACAATGATGACTATTTTTAACGTTTTTCGATATAAAATTCTATGAGTCATACATGCTATAAATAAATATTATTCAATGTGATAATATTGCTTCGACAGAATATACATTTTATAGATTCGCAAATGGTATACTTAGTTCTATTTTGTGTTACATCGATATGATTTTGCTGTATATAATGACGTATTTTACATGGCTCAAAGAAGCTAAACATTTTGTGACAGCGCATCGACTGACGTCAATCAGATATTTCAATGTACAACATGCTGTTGTGGCATATTCTTGGACAAGCGTTTATCATTTCATAGTTTGACATCCACATGACACGCAGTGACTTAATGTCACTTCTACACGTCCCGTTGCGCGAGAAAGTTTTGCAGATGGTGATGGTTCAATGACAGAGACGGGGAAAAGTGTAAGGGATCGAGGCACCACCAGTTGAGGCACACGCAATACATGTTTCTTTATAAATAGTTATTAGTTCATCCGCTCACTTCTACACGTCTAGCTACGCGAGAAAGTTCTGGAAATGATGGTGGTTGGGCGATAGAGACCGGGACAGGCGAGCGATCACTTTTGTCCATCACTTCAAACCACGTGACAACCATATCACGCAATAGTTATAACGGACTAAATTAGTTCATCTCAAAGCTCACTGCTTTTACACGTCCAGTTGCGCGAGAAAGTTCTGCAGATGATTATGGTTCCACGACATAGACGGGGACAGGTGTAAGCGATCGAGGCGTCACTAGTTCATCACATTGACTTATTTAATTAGTTCAGACGATCACTTTCTCCTATACGTCTAGTTGCGCACAAGTTTCGAAGTTAGTGACAGAGAGTGAGACAGGTGCGAGGAGGGATCACTATGCATATTTCATCACTCTTCGGCCAGAGAGTTCTGGGGATGGTGGTGGTTTAATGACAGAGACGGGGACAGGTTTAAGCGATCGAGGCATCACCAGTTGAGTACCAGTTCTACATGTCCACCTGCGCCAGAAAGTTCTGCAGAGAGTGGTGGATCAATGGCAGAGGCTGGGGCAGATGAGGGATCACTTTAAAGGCATCGTTTATCACTCCTAACGGACAAACACCATATTCCACGTGACAAACACGTATCACGCAATAAGGTCTAAATTAATTTATTTTTAAAGTCATTGCCCCTACACGTCCAGTTGCGCGAGAAAGTTCTGCAGATGGTGATGGTTGGGCGGCAGAGACCAGAGCAAGCGAGGGATCACTTTTGTCCATCACTTTTAACCACGTATCACGAGTTTTTACGGACTAAATTAGTTCATGGTGTAACTCGGTGTAAGCGATCGAGGCACCACATGTTTCTTTATAGTCACTTCTACACGTCCAGCTGCGCGAAAAAGTTCTGCAGATGGTGGTGGTTCAACGGTAGAGACGGGGACAGGTGTAAGCGATTGAGGCACCACTAGTTCATCACATTGACTTATTTAATTAGTTCGATTACTCTTCTCCTACACGTCTAGTTGTGCAGTTAGTGGCAGAGAGTGAGACACTATGCATATTTCATCACATTTGACAACCACGTCACATCCACGTGACACTCATTAAAGTCTTAAATAATTTCGTATCAAATGTCACTTCTACACGTCCAACTGCGCCAGAAAGTTCTGCAGATAGTGATGTTTTAACGACAGAGACGGGGACAGGTTTAAATGATCGAGGTATCACCAGTTGAGCACCAGTTCTACATGTCCAGCTGCGTCCAGATCACTTTAAAGGCAAACACATATTCCACGTGACATACACAGATCACGCAATAAGGACTAAATTCATTCATTTTTAATGTCACTGCTTCTTATCTTATACGTCTAGCTGCGCTAAAAAGTTCTGCAGATGGTGATGATTAGGCGGCGGGGGGTGCGGGGGGTGCGGGTGGGCGCGGCGCGGCGCGGGCGGCGCGACGGCGTCGATGTCGGCGTGGTCGCGGCGGTGCGCGCGCGCCCCGGCCGGCGCCCGCGGCAGGCGGAGCGGCGCCGGGAGCAGTTCCGGCATCACGCTGTGGTGGGTTACTAGAGCTGAGAGAGACGTGAACTCCTTTGTGAAGCCCTGGAAGAGAATGATTTGGTATCGTTATTACTGGTGATATTTGTAGGGCACATGACGCGGCGTAGGGAGCAGCTCTGGCATTACGCTGTGGTGGGTTACTAGGGCTGAGAGAGACGTGAACTTCTTTGTGAAGCCCTGGAAGGAAACGTTTTGGTATCGTTATTACTGGTGATATTTATAGGGTACATGACGCGGCGCCGGGAGCAGTTCCGGCATCACGCTGTGGTGGGTCACTAGAGCTGAGAGAGACGTGAACTCTTTTGTGAAGCCCTGGAAGTGAATGATTTGGAATCGTTATTACTGGTGTGATGTGTGTGTATGGGCCTCATAAGAAGGCTCAAGGTCACCCAAAGGGCGATGGAGCGGGCTATGCTCGGAGTCTCCCTGCGTGATCGAATCAGAAATGGGGAGATCCGCAGGAGAACCAAAGTAACCGACATAGCTCGCAGAATTGCTAAAATCAAGTGGCNAGGGCACATGACGCGGCGTAGGGAGCAGCTCTGGCATTACGCTGTGGTGGGTTACTAGAGCTGAGAGAGACGTGAACTCCTTTGTGAAGCCCTGGAAGAGAATGATTTGGTATCGTTATTACTGGTGATATTTGTAGGGCACATGACGCGGCGTAGGGAGCAGCTCTGGCATTACGCTGTGGTGGGTTACTAGGGCTGAGAGAGACGTGAACTTCTTTGTGAAGCCCTGGAAGGAAACGTTTTGGTATCGTTATTACTGGTGATATTTATAGGGTACATGACGCGGCGCCGGGAGCAGTTCCGGCATCACGCTGTGGTGGGTCACTAGAGCTGAGAGAGACGTGAACTCTTTTGTGAAGCCCTGGAAGTGAATGATTTGGAATCGTTATTACTGGTGTGATGTGTGTGTATGGGCCTCATAAGAAGGCTCAAGGTCACCCAAAGGGCGATGGAGCGGGCTATGCTCGGAGTCTCCCTGCGTGATCGAATCAGAAATGAGGAGATCCGCAGGAGAACCAAAGTAACCGACATAGCTCGCAGAATTGCTAAAATCAAGTGGCAGTTGGCGGGGCACATAGCTCGTAGAGACGATGGCCGTTGGGGCAGGAAAGTTCTCGAGTGGCGACCACGGGCTGGAAGACGTAGCGTGGGCAGGCCTCCTACTAGGTGGACCGACGATCTGGTAAAGGTCGCGGGAAGAGCCTGGATGCGGGCAGCGCAGGACCGTTCATTGTGGAAAACCTTGGGGGAGGCCTTTGTCCAGCAGTGGACGTCATTTGGCTGAAATGACGACGAACGACATTAATAAATAAGAAAGAAAGAATATAACTTTATTTAGGCAACAAAAGACATACACAAAAAAAGAACAAAGTTGCTAAAAAGGTCACATACTCAGTAACAATTCGAGTGAAAGTTTGATTTTGATTGACACTGGTATTTGATCCATCAAAAAGGGACATCATTAAGATATTTAACATGAGAAGCGACTTGTATTTGACTTACGGGAAGAAGCTTGGAATCCCCACGGTGAAAATTGGATACCTACCTACATCCAAAATCTGGGGGCACGGCAGTGCCCCCGCCAAGTCGAGCGCGAAGCAAACACTGCCGTACCATCCTTTACTGGAACCATTTCGCCGCATTTTCAGGCCCCTATTTGAGAACCTCTGGATAAGACCAGAACGCAGAAATTCTCGTCATCTAGTAAGCTATAATCACATACTTTAAATCCAAAATTTCAAGTCTGTAGGTCATTTAGTTCCGAAGTTAAGCGAAAGCAAAGTTTCGCATTTACGACACTCACTCACTCACTCACTCACTGATGATCATCAAAATAGAACTAGTACTTCCCATTAACTCAGAGGGCTGAAATTTGGTACAGAGTTAGGGTTTAATGGCCACATAAAGGGAAAACTATAAAAACTAGGAAAATCGAAGATCTGGAGTAACCACATTCATAATCAATACTTCTCCGGCCCCGTGGTGTTCGCCTGTATCGCTCACCGCTAGATGGCGCTAGCACTAGCAAGCGGTGTCCAGATTTTTTCCTTTCTAGAGAAAGTCGTCGATTAAGTTGAATGTTGTGTAATTTGCATTTCGTTGATTTCGTTTATTATACTGTAAGGTTCGCTTAGGTTATGTTATAATTAAAAACAATCTGATTCGTTGTCCATTTTAAAGGTCGTTGAGTTTATTTGTGTTTAATATCGTAAAAAAATGTTGATTGCCTTATGCTTTGATTTGTGGGTAACGGTGGGTAAGTATGTGAAGTGTCAATTTGACCAAACAAATTATTTGGGATATAATATTTGGCAACATAAAACATTTGCTATATAAACATTTGCCAAGTAAAATTTGGCCAAATGATAATTTGACCAAATGAATTAGTTGCGAAAAGTACAGTTGCTAAAAGTTCATTTGGGAAATGAAACTTTGGCGATAAGTTGTTTGCGAAGTGAAATTTGGCGAAAAGTAATTTGGCCAAACGGAAGGATACCTTAATTAATGCCGTCTGGGACTCAAGCGGTTAAAGATGCTACATAATAAAATAATACCCGTATTAAAATAATAATAATTGTGTATATGTATGTGTATATATTTATAAATGTATATATTAAAATAAACATGCGATGTGAAAAAAGAAGAGAAACAAAAGAAGTGTGCTAGTGTAAGACTATCATTGCGGTTGCGTTTAGAATCTTTCACAGCTTAATGATTACTAACTGCTCTGCTGAACGATCCTTCTCACAACTAAAAAGGTTGAAAAACCCGCAAAGAACAAAAATCTGTCCAGACAAGCTTAATTATTTAGCATTAATGTGTATTGAGGCAGACATACTTCGTCGGATAAATTTCGACGATGTAATCTCGGAGTTTGCTCTGATTAAGGAAAGGAAAATAATGTTTTAAGTTTTACATTTTACCTACTACACTTTCTATTTTGATAAACTTTCATTTTATACTTTATACCTTCCATTCCATTCCTTCCATTTCCATTTAAGCACTAGAGGGCCTACACAGGTTCTGTGCTTAAGGCCTCGGATACTCTTAATCCGCCACTGCTCGTGACGCTGAAGGCGCAGCTCGACCGAGACCAGCCGGAGTGGGCTTGTCTGCAGAAGTTCTTGCAGAAGACCAAGTCCTCCTTGTTCGCTGATAGCAAGCCCATATTTTATAGTAATAAAAAGTAATGTGTTCGGTTTAGTGTTATGTTTTATTTAGTTATAGTATTTTTATGTATCGACCCCAAGCCCTAAGGTAAAAGGTAATTTTTGAGAGGTAGGACAGGTTTTCAAGGTAAAGGTTAAGGTAATAAGGTATTTTGGTTAAAAAAATACTCGGTAAGTCTTCATTGGTTTTGAGCACAAGTAAAATAGGTTTTGTCGAGGTCTGCTAGCCGTGTTCTGGTCTAACTCGAGCTCACGCAATTTAGTTAATTGACAGACGCTCACACACTTAAAACACTCACACACATTTTTCTTCAGTAACATTTATTNATGTTTTTGGTGGGATAAATTCTACCCAAATGAAATAAATTAGAGCGCAAAATTGAATTCATAGCTGAGCAGCAGCATAAGAAGGCAAATGATGGCGATGAAGCGTACTATACTCGAATTTTCCCTTTCGTGATCATATCAGAGAGCAGGAAAACTAAAGTAGCCTACATCATCATCAGCATCATCATCAACAGCCCTTTACTGCTGGACTATGAGCGTCCTCCATTTTAGTGGAGGGTTTTGTCATAATCTCCACACTTGGCAGGTAGATTGGAGATCGCAGTTTAAAATTTTTATGTGTATCAGAGATCGCTGCTGTCCGTTCTCTGTTTACTCTTCTCGCGGGTATCGTAAGAGGCGACTTTGGGACTACTTTTTGGGATTATACAGAGAAGTAGTCTACATAGCCCTCAAAAAGTTAAAAATTGAGCTGCTAGTATTTGTCGCCAGTATCTCGATTGTAGACCCGAAGACCGTCTAGACCAGTGGATCTTAACCGGTGGTCCGCGGACCACTGGTGGTCCCTGGAGGCATTCCAAGTGGTCCACGAAGACATCGTAATAAACAAGCGACGTGACGTGATGAGTCGAGTCAACACAACGCAAACGGCACACAGTGGGCGAGAAATCGACCTCCTCTTTCACAAGATTTTGAAAAAAAAATGTGGTCCCTGACAAGACAGAAATTTGGTAAAATGGTCCCTCGTGACTTAAAGGTTAAGAACCACTGGTCTAGACCATACAAGCCCGTGTGCTCACCTTGATCTTGTACCCCTTGGGCGTGCGCAGGATGAGGTAGTGCGCGATGCCGGCGGGCGTGAAGTCGCGCGGGACCCGCACCGACAGCGCGTAGCAGCCGGCCTGCGTCGTGCTGCCGCGCACCAGGAACGAGCCTACCGGCTGGCTGCTGAGCACTTCTAGTGCTATCTGGAATGGAAGGAATTCTGTGAGACTGCTGCCCGTTTTCACCATCAATCCCTAATTTTAAGTGACCGCTATGTAAACAAAATTCCTATTATTTGTTACCACAGGGGTCATTTAAAAATTAGGGATGATGGTGAAAACGATAGCCCCAACGACTTTGAAATTAGCAAGACGAAGGCAAAGATGTATTATTGAAAGTCGAAAGATTTGAAGACGCTCATGCTAAACTGAGTTGTTAAACAATAAATGTTTGTGAAAGAATCATATAAAATGTTGAGATTAAATACTTATTTAACCTAGGAATAAATCTACCATCGGCCATCCAGAATAGCAGAATAGGCCACAACCACTCTTCCCTTGGATGTAACAAAAGGAGACTAATGGACAAATATGCGAAAATCTTGTCTGTCCCCCATCCCTCTGGCTAACGTGGAAGAAAGTGCAGATCAAGTCCGCTATTTACCTCAAAAATTAGAAAGGATCATGCTCCTATAGTGGGGAGCAAATGGCTTGTTGATGTGTCCAGAAATAATGGCGATTTTTGGAAGATGCTAGAAGAAGAAAGTTAGTCGATATTCGTTCTTACTTCTCTAGGAATCCCTTGCTGAAACCAAGGCGCTTGCCTCAGCTCAGGCTCAGCTCGAGGGATATTATTGTTGCCGGAGCCGTGCGAGCCGCCACCCCCACACGATGACGCGCCCGATGACGATGACGTCGTACGACTACAGGCTGCTGATGGACTACTGAAAATAGAAGAAAAACACAAAAAATCTTAACATCAGGTGCGATTGTGGTCAAATACCTGCCTTGTTATGCATAAAAAAAAAACATGAAATTCTTTATGGCTCATACATAGGTTTTTGTTTGACAGACGAGTGTTGCCATTGCCATCTACTGAATAGAGGAATTATCATACAGAATAATAAATTCAGGTCCGGTCGAAGTTTTACCATTTTGCATTAAAATTCAGTGACAACATAGTCTTTGGATGTTCCTACTTATCGGAAATTATCATCATCATCATCATCATCATCGTTTCATCTTTAGCTGAACAATGTTTTTCAGCTTTAGCTTTATTTTTGGAAGAATCAGAAAATATTTTCGTAATAGTCAGGCATATCTTGCCCAACTGCTGCACATCATTGCTGAAGTCCAATCCATTCATAAGGAAAGCTTCCTTACCCATTCTTAACATTATTGCACCTCCTGAAGTCGACATCCAGCTCGTGCATGTTGTCGTGCCGTCGCGGCGTGGGCGGCAGCTCGCGGTTGCTCTCCCTCGTCCGCGCCTCGGCTTCGGATGCTTCGTTGATGTAGCCGCCGTTCATGCAGAGGGGAAGGTTTGTGGGCCTGGAAACGGGAGAAAACAGACGTTTATCTATGTCTTGTTTCAGAAATTATTGCTGTCGTGATTGGGAGTTAAATTTTTGATAGGTATACAGATGTACAGAGAAATAATGGCTTGAGGTAAAATGGGATGGATATTTGATGGGATGAATTTTTCCCTAGTGGGTAAAATTGATTCCATCAAAACTTATACTAACTAAGCAAAATGTTGAAGACATTTTGTGCACATCATGATGCACGCTAATTGAGCGGCGTGACAATTAGTCGTTTTTATTTCGCATTATTTCTAAGTATACTTGGTCTAGTATCGGCTACTGGAGTTGTCGATTTATCATCCGTTAGCTGTACCATTGCTACGGGCGGTCGCCGAGGCGCCAGTAGCAGTTTATCTCCGTGGGCGAGTCCAACAGCTTTAGCTGCTAAGTCTTGGTTGGCTAACATAGCGATTGTAACTTCATTTACGTCGTCGGTGTGTCGGCCACTAGAGGCGTGGAGTCGTCGTCGGACGGCTGCAGCAGCGCGCCGCTCAGGCCCATGGCCAGGCGCTTCATGAGCGGCGGGCGGTCGCCGAGGCGCCGGTAGCAGTTGATCTCCTTGCGTGAGTTCAACTGCTTCAGCTTGGATGACTGAGATAAACTTACGTCGTCGGTGTGTCGGCCACTAAAGGAGTTGAGTCGTCGTCGGACGGCTGCAGCAGCGCGCCGCTCAGGCCCATGGCCAGGCGCTTCATGAGCGGCGGGCGGTCGCCGAGGCGCCGGTAGCAGTTGATCTCCTTGCGTGAGTTCAACTGCTTCAGCTTGGATGACTGAGATAAACTTACGTCGTCGGTGTGTCGGCCACTAGAGGCGTGGAGTCGTCGTCGGACGGCTGCAGCAGCGCGCCGCTCAGGCCCATGGCCAGGCGCTTCATGAGCGGCGGGCGGTTGCCGAGGCGCCGGTAGCAGTTGATTTCCGTAGGCGAGTTCAACTGCTTCAGCTTGGATGACTTCTAAACTTACGTTGTCGGTGTGTCGGCCACTAGAGGCGTGGAGTCGTCGTCGGACGGCTGCAGCAGCGCGCCGCTCAGGCCCATGGCGAGGCGCTTCATGAGCGGCGGGCGGTCGCCGAGGCGCCGGTAGCAGTTGATCTCCGTGGGCGAGTTCGACTCCTCGGAGCTGCTCGGGCTGGGCTCGTTTACAAGCTTCGACACTCCCATTATGTCGCATTTCGCTGGGGATCTGCAATTTGATTGTCAAATTTTTTTGTTAATTTAGTTTACATAACTCAATTTGGAAGTCAGACAAGGCTGGTTAGCACCATCGTATATTAACTTTGACAGACGTCAAAAATCTGTGAAACTCCAAACAAAAAGCACTGGTTATCGTTATTGTTACCGGTAAAGTTAGGTAGTGCAACTCAGCCTTAGATCGTAATACAGTAAAACAGAATTTTTAATCTGTTCTAAAAACACTTTTTATTTTTCAAATAGGTGTAGGATTGCTGGTTACCGTCTACTTGTCTACGGATAAAACGGATGAAATGCGTTTTATCCCTTTTATGGTTACAGTCGTGCCTTCTTTAAGACACAACAGATTGTGATATCTCAAGGTTATCTAAAACTTTAACCTCAGCTGAGAGGCAAGCTAAGTAATTGATTTCAATGAGATCAATCTTATCTCTAGTTTAGTTTCACATGCCTTCATGTGCGATGTATCATTTCAATAAATAGTTTTAAATATGCAGAGATTTTTATCTCAGATTCAAAATCAAAATCAAAATTTTCTTTATTTGTTTAGACTAATTAAATTAGTTCTTGCGACGATTTGCAAGAACTAATTTAATTAAATGCTCTTAAGGAGCCTATACATGTCTCATTCTTTTTTGCCCTACCAGCGCTTCGAGACAAACATTTGGCAAGTGCTGAGAAGAAGCGCCGCAACAAACTCAGTCACCACTGTCTGCCGGTTTAAAAATATAAAAAAGTAGGAAGTTACAATATATTCAGAAGCAAGTTACTTACCACGCGCTCCCGTTGATAGAAGGTGGAAAGGAATTCAAATTGTTTATTGCTTCATGTTGGTATACAAAGGTTTGTCTCTGACCTGTCTCCACAGTGAGGGTAGTGGTGGGTCAGGCCGGGCAGCGAGTCGGGCGCGCGCACGCCCATGCCGCCGCAATCGCTGCTCAACTCCTTGCTCTGAAATAACAATCATTTACACAATTAAAATTAAATTAATTTAGGTTCAGAAGTTATTATTGACGATAAGTGTAGTTTATAGGTTTCACTGTTATACTTTCAATAAACCTTTTACCATAATAATTAGTAACAAACGGAAAATAAAACATTATTGAACTTGCTCATAGTCATAAAACACAGAGAAGTCGTTTAGTAACAGCAAGTGAAACAGATGGGATGTTTTTCCAAAGCGCTTTCGTATACTCAAAGGTGTTACTAAATACAAAAGTTATTACACTTTTATTGTGGCCTTTTACTGTCGCAGCACGTATTTACTAATCTGTGTGTCTACCATGAGTTTACGTTAGGTGTGCTCGCTAGCGAAAACGTCAAAAATCTCTATGGAGATTTTGTTTCTTGAAAGTAGCCGCTAGGGGCGCTGCACAATATGTCATACAATTAATGTCATTTTTTTACGCAGTCGCTAGCGAGCACACGTAACGTAAACCCATGGTAAGCACACTGAGCTATTAAGTAGAGCCGTAAAAGTCGATGTAAGTCGGGTGACGCTCGATTGTTTGCCCAACTGTCGTAATAAGCAGCTATGTTTCAAGCGGACAGCGCCGTAAATCAGTCCGCATTCCTCCAGAAGAATGCGAACTAACGGCCACATTATCTTGACTCTAGACAATAATGCAGCTCAGGGAGAAGAGGCAGATCATTTTGAACGGAATGAAAAATCGAAAGACTGCTGGATATTTTTTAGGCATGGAAAATATGATGAATAAGGTTAAGTTTAGATGTTGGTATAATATGCTAAATCAGCCATACTTTCCTTCCTTGTAAATTTATTGCTTTTTTCCACAACAGAGTTCTTATAAAAATATGAAATCATGTCAATGAAACTAAAAAAATATTTTACCAATAAGTAATACTCACGCAAAAAAATGCACTCTATGTGTTCAGGCTTAAGGCATCAAACAAATAAAAATAATGCATGAGCCAGGACTTATTAAAATAACAAATATTATTAACGAAATGAACTGACCGTTTCTTTCCGACTATACTCCGAAGCTCGACAATAATAGGGACGAAATCATTGCCTGTCACAACACGAACCCGATTGATATACGGAACGGTTACACTATGAACCTTATTATTTTGGACCGAAGTAAATTAGTGTAACGGTATTTCACAAAACGTGCCGTCGCGTGACAGAATGCGGGATGACGAAAGGAACCTTTTGTCGGGACATAATTTTTTTTCGGCGATAGATTTCGAGACATGTTGAATATTTATTAGATCAGGGTAAACTGTTTTGTTTTGACGGGAACGTATCGATTCGATGTCGTTATTTAAAAAAAAACATTGTAGAATTTTGGATAAGGCTTTACAGATAATTTTGTGTCCTTGTTTTATAAGATTTTTCTTTGTGAGTCATATTGGTTTTTCCCTTATTTACCTCGAAAAACATTTTTATGAAAGAAAAAACTAAATTCTCTTTATCACAACGGATTTTGCGTTTTAACTTTTAGTGCGACTGAAAGTGGCTTTGTATGTTACCTCTACTTATTTACACAGAAGTTGCAGTAAGAACGAAAGAGAGGAATAGTCCCATTTCCTGCTATGAATAAAATATAGTTATACATAAAGTATTCTTCGGAATTGTAAAATTATCAGTGTAAAATCGATTTATAAATGAATAGGTAGTAAAAACGTGTCACAGCAATAAATTAACTATGATTAGGCTGGTAATTTTATTCAATACTTAACTTATGCAAGAAACTTTAGCATAAAAAGCATAATAATAGTTTCAGTAGAAAATTAACTTCTGGTACAAGAAGCTCAATGTACTAATCAATCACCTGTCGATACTTAGATGTTTTACTACGTTATTAAAGAAAAACATAATAATACCAAACGTGATTTCACGTCCGTTAAGTGACAGTGTACCTAATTGAATTACAGGAAATTATAGGTTGTATCATACTATAACCTACTGTATGAATATTATGAAGAAATAATTTAAAGTTAATTTTCTATATTAAAACTTAATTATTTAACGACTTCCATACCATAATATTGTAATTTTTACGCCACTCGTACACGCAATCAACATGAATTTTATGCTCAAATTTTCTTGAGCATGCATATCTACTATAATACTTCAGATTTCAGTAGTATTATATGGGTGCTATTTTGCTATAAAAATATTTATATGTGAGAGCTGTAACTATAAGCACAGAATAATAATAAGTACTACGTACAGAAGTTTTACTTCGCGAAGGATTTTAAAAAAATGTATGCTCAATGTCATTAACAATATGGTGTAATTTAGCCTGTCTCAAGAGTCAAGCACCATTTTGTTGACAAACGTCAGTGATCGGCACTGCGCCGAAGCTATAGGGCTGACTTCGGTAAAATGATGTGACGTGAGGTGCCAAACTGCGGAAAATGGCGGAGGAAATACATGATTTAGCATGAATTATCATGAATAATATTAACTACTTATTTACCTGTCAGTGTCTTGAGGCAACTTAATAAAGTACATTCTCTGTTTTTATTATTATTTAGGCAGTTAAATACTGCACAGTATTTAGTACACCATTTTCTTTATTTTCTTCCATCATACACAAGATTTTAAGCGTGCGTGAGTCAATGTTCGCTCGTATGTGAGGCCTTGTCGAATAGTATCCTGTAGGTGGGCCATCGTGCGTGTTTTGTTTTCCATGTAAACTCGCGGAGATGAACAGGCCTGCTATAAGTCCCCTGTATGTAAGATCCAATATGTCTTCACATAGCAATCGAGTATGCAGATCCCCAAGCAATGAGCGGCGTCCCCGACGCCTTTACTGTGCTGGGACCGGGATCACATAAACGTCACCAACTCTCAAACCGTGAGGTGGGACGTGATAAAAATATAGGTAAAGGTGAAGCAGAGCTTTTTCTTTTGAAGTTCAGCCCTAATATAAGTGCCAAAAATGATAAGTAATATTTACGTATAACGAGTTTTTTTCTACGAGGACGGTAGCTTTAATATGATTCATAGATAAAAAGAAAAATAAAGTTTTAAACACAATAATTCATAATAGAGTCATCAGACAGCTGCACATCTTCCGTGAACGAGTAATAAATATGTGCCTGTTGAAGGTATGCTGTTTGTTATCATTTGTTATCCAGTAATTCATACGTTCCCCTATCGTTGCAGTTGGTACAGTAGGCAAATATCAGCTCAGTTTAGGAAAAAAATTGGAATAATAATACAACATTGCAGTATTTTATAGCATTGTTTCAATTTATGTCATACATAGTTCATGTTCGTACTTTGCATAAAAGCTTAGAATGCAGTATCATAACTTTATGATTATTAGAACAACTAGGTATTTACAATGTTCTATGGTAGAATAGGCAAATTATTTCCATTACTAGTCGATTGATTTTGAAAGTTACGATCGCAACCGGGTCGTAACTCTCGTGTTTATTGTGTGCAAATTGACGGTAAATTGTTAAATAAATATGTAATTACATGGCTAGAACAACCATATTATATTTGTCTAGCCCTAAACTATGGTAGAGCTAACAAACAAGGCAATAACGCATAAATATGATAGAGCACTAGCTCATAGCGTAATAATTGACCTAAATAATTTTGATATTCAATAAATCTTTAAACGAGTACCTAGTTCGTTTATTAGTAAAAACATTGGCCACAAAGCTAAAGGTCGTGGGTTCGCAGTGTACGATATTTATTGCATTTGCACTAGGACATGTTACTAGTACACTACACTACATATTGTTACTAGGAGACAGTAAAATATGGATTGCAGATTTTGTAGCAACTTTTTCAAGTTGGCTAAATTAAATCGGTGCGTGCCAATAGTTATTCGTGAAATTAAATTTATTGAATGGAAGGGCAGTTTTAGTTAAATTCAAATTCATTATTCATAATTTTATTAAATACTTAGGCCCTTTCCAGGGCACTTATACACGTCTCAAATATACTCGTAGTCTACCACGATCTTTATGCACCATCTTTTAAAAATCCTTCTGCTCCAAGCCTTTTGCGTCACCAAACTGTGTCATAAAATGCTCGTACACGGCCTAAAATATTCACACAGAACGTACTTGTGGCACTGCAGTGTACTACAAAGTGCACGGCCTCTATTGTAAACCAAACTTTACTTTCAGGACTTGCGGCCTAGTTTCAGGATTTTAATATTTCAACGACTGTATTTACAGTTCAGCTTATTTTGCGAAATCGTAATATTTGTTATCATTTCTGTTATAATTCAAAATAAAGTGTCAACTTCATCATTAATAGTGAGGAGGTATTGTCAGTCCATTTTACTTCATTAAAGACCTATTAAAATACAAATTTATTTATTTATTATTTATTTAAACTCTTATGCCAAAATAAATTTGTACATAAGGCGAACTTAATGCACTAAAGCATTCTCGACCAGTTTACCTTTGGGTTGAGCAGAAAGAAATTTACGTATTTATGAGAACAAACAAATTAAAACGAACAACAAAATAACTGAGTAGAATTGAATGAAACCACCACAAACGACACTCCACCCCTTACATTCTTATCACAACCGTCATGCATGTAATAAACAACTGAAATTATATGTCTGGCGCCCAGAGCCAGGCCCATTTAATCAATTCACCTTTTTACTGCCTGCCTCGAAATTATATGCGTCAGCCACGGAATCCCCGCGATTTGGGCCTATAACAGTAATTATACCTGGATATAGCATGTTTGTTCGCGGTAATAGGCTCTAAATGTGTAATAAAAATCTATAACTACTTCATTAAGTTCATTGGCATACATTTTTTTAATCACACGTTTGGTTTTTAAAGGAAAAATGCGAGTAACACAATTGTTTTATCAGATTAAACCGTTAAAAAACCCTCTACTGTAACGTGCGTATCGACGAAATCTTTGCCGTAGAATTATTTCGCCTTCTGCCGCCATCTATTGCCAGATACCGGTTATTTACTACCGTGTTCTTTGTTTC